AGGGGTAATGCGTGTAGAGCAGCTCGCGGTTCCTGGACACATGAACAACAGTCGCCATGTGACTGTGGACCAATTGCTCTGCCAGCTCAACGCTGGGGGTGGGCTTCAACGCCGCCACACACATCACGGCAGCCAAGGAACCAACGGAATTGCCGGTAGTATCGAAGTTCATTTTGCTCTTCGCTACCGCCACCAGAACCTGGCTCAGGTGCTCGCGCACGAGCGAGTGTCTGGCGAAAGCGAACCAGAGCGGCCTGCCAAATCGCGACAACCAAGCGGGGGAATGTAGGTCGCTCAAGGCAAGAGGATACGGAGGCAGCTCTTTAGCCTCCGACGTCAGCTTCATCCCGATGTCCGGAGGGCTCACAGAGATAAACGGAGCAGGCATGTACGGACTGTCCATATCATTCACACGGTAGAATCTCCACGAATCATCACGGTGTAGAGCAGGAGCGAAGTTCTGCACTTTGGACTGTGTACTCGCAAAGCACGCCGTGATGCCCTGCACGGTGAAGACTCTCCTGAACAGCCGGAAGTTCTGCATGTCTACAACGTTCGACTGCCGTAACAGTGTGGCCGCCTCATCGCAGAGTACAAGAACATATCTGACGCCGAAGCGTCTTTTGAATTCCGTAACTGCCATTTCAAGTTGCTTGGATGCGGCTTCGGGGGATACAGGTGTTAACGGCGATTCTACCTTGTACCGAGGTGACCAGCTATGCACCTGATACTGAAACCATTCCTCCGGCGAAAGACCAAAAATCCGCTCATCCGTGCTCGCTTCCGCCAGCATATCCGCAAGACACATCCTCAGATGCGCAACAATCAAGTCAGCTGTTGCATCGGTCATTGACGTGTTTAGGATTGACAACAGCGCTCTGCAATTGTTGGTTGTCCTCGGGTATGTGTTCAGGCTCTGTCCCATGCTGATATACAAACACCGGAATTGCTTACTAACCTCCGCGAACAAACGGGATTTTCCCCAGCCGCTAGACTGCGTAACAGCGCCCACAGAGGTGCTCGCCACGTCCTCAGCCGCCTGGCCCAATATGCCTACGAACTCCGTCGGGGTCAGACCGTGAGGGTCCCTAATGTACGCCTCTGAAAACGCCTCGGCGCAGTCCACCACAAACGCGGACTCCACCTCCGTTGTCGACACAGCACCCGGGGTCACGCTGGCGACGCCCCGAGACAGCCGGTTCTTCATCTCCTCAAGGTCTTCCTCCGCCTTCCTCCTTGCCTCCACCTCTTCCTCCGCCTTCCTCCTTGCCTCCACCACCTCTTCCTCCGCCTTCCTCCTTGCCTCCACCACCTCTTCCTCCGCCTTCCTCCTTGCCTCCACCTGTTCCTCCGCCTTCCTCCTTGCCTCCGCCACCTGTTCCTCCGCCTTCCTCCTTGCCTCCACCTCTTTCGCCAAAAGCTGGTGCAGGAGTACAATCTGGCTACTAGACGGGTCTGTCATTTTGTTATCTGCTCAGGGGACGTGTCTGTGTTAGCTGGTAACAATTCCTACCTCAAGGCAAGGGAAACGATTATGGTTCGTAAATTTGGGCGGACCAAAAATCTAAGTGCG